GCTAGGCCCCCGGGGGCGGCCGCGGCGGGACCATGGCCCGCAGACCCGCGACGGGCGCCCACGGCGAGGAGTTCTCCTTCGTCAGCCCGCTGGTGAAATACCTGCTCTTCTTCTTCAACATGCTCTTCTGGGTGAGTCCTGGGGTCCCGGGCACCTGAGCTGGTGGGAAGCCCCGAATGGGGCAGGGGGCTGTGCGCCGCGGGCAGCGGAGGGGGCGTCCCGGGATGCCAGTTCCACGGCGAGCGTCGGGCGCAGCGCTGCCTAGTTTTCAGTGCTGTCAACACTTTGGGGAGAATTCATGGCTGGGGGGCAGAAGGTACACCACAGTATGACTGTATCTGGAGCCGCTTTCTGTGGGTATCCAACGCTTTGGTAAAGACTTATGGGTATTCTCTGGCCATCGCAGAGGGTACATAGCAGGCCAGAAAGGTGGATCTGTCAGGGGAGCAGGTTTGCCTGCTGGCCCAAGGTGGACCCAGAAGCACGTTCCTCATGGAGAGCTTCAGGCCTGGGGCCAGAAGGCCCTGCTAGGAATGAGGAAAGGAAAACCCCAAAACCCCACACCCCACTTCCAGCAGAAAAGATCCATCCAAGGGCTTCTTCGCTGCTTTTGCAGGCCTGTGGGGCCCCTACTCCCACCCCATCCAGGCTGGAGAAGGCAGAAATGGCCTCTAGATGCTGTTGTCTCTCTCAGCACTGCCCCAAACTTTGCCCCACCTTCTTCAGAACTGGACTCCGTCCCCTGGGGCCTGGCAGCCCTTAATTCGTTGACCCAGGGCCCTGGAGTGAGACCAGAGAGCCAGGGGTCTTTCTGAATCTTCTGCATGGGGATGAAAAAGTGGAGAGTGAATTGAACGAGACTGGGGAGACCTGGATTTTTCATCCTCTCTGTGCTGTTAATTGTTGACTGAGCTGAGCAAACACCTCCGTTCTGGAGGCCTCTTTTCCTTCTATAAAAGCGAGGCCAGTGTGATTAGAATGGCAGAGAAGCTGCTACTGGTGAGAGAAGTTCAAGGCTAGGCTGGATCAGGATCTGACCCCCTCTACAGGTTTCCGGTGGCTCCCCCCCCCCCC